ACCGACTTCGATCATCACGTTGAGCAGCCATAACAGAGGAATCATCAGTATGAGGGGATGTCTCAGTGACGGGTTTGCTCGGTATACGCAAAAGAGCAGAACAAGTAGAAGTAAAGTTGGGTATGACAGGAGAACCCAAAATCTGATCACGGACATGAGAAACATCATCAGAGAGTCCGTATAATGCCAACAACATGAAGAACTTTGATCGTTGTTCCAATTCTTCAGCAGGAGTGGAAGCAGGAGGTAATATATCATTAAAGTCATGAAGAAGGGCATGAATTTTACCCAAATATTCTGCCATAGGACCAGGATTGCGCGGACCAATAACAGTTAATAGGTCCTGACAAACACCATAAAGACGCTGAGTGTCATTGGTGTATAACAACTTCGCTTGTGCCCATACTTCTGAACATGTTTCATAGGATCGAAACATTTGTTTCAGTGAGGAGTGAATGGTGGACTTTATAACAATGCATAACTGAGCATCAATTTTCATCCAGCGGGAAGTGTCATCTATGGGAGCAGTAGTCACATTTTGAGTAAGATGATCTAAGTACCCTTGACTCTTCAACCAAAGTTTGATGTCGGACGCCCATGTTGCATAATTTGTGCCATCTAACTTGTCAATGGACAAGTGTACATTCACATAATTGGTATATATTGAGGGATCAGAAGATGAGCCACCAATAGAGGTGTTTGTAGACGAGGAAGACGCCATAGAGAGGGAGAAACCCTAAAAATTCAAAGTGCTCCGATTGACGCAACGACCACAGATCCAGAAAGAGGGCGAGGAGGCGATCACGGCGGTGCTGATCGGCGGTGCTGATCGGCGGCGGAAAGCTTCGGCGACGCGCCGGCACGCGCGGCGGCAGCGGCGACTCTTGCGGCGGGCGCGTGGGTGGTCCGTTCGCCGCGATCTTCGTACCACGGTGGTCGCCCGGCCGAGACGATTCCGATGGTGTGGTCGCCGGTCGATTCTGGAACTTCGGCAACGGCGGCGGCAGCGGCGACGACAGCGGCAGTGATGGGTGCCGTAGACCGTGGAGTTGACTGGAACTATTCCTGTGCTCTAGATACCATATGAGAAATAGAGAAGATTGGGAGAAAATATCCCTTGTGTGTTTAGCATACACATAGGGTAGTTTATTTATATTGTAAGATATGGGCCAATGCCCTTAATACAGAATAGACTAAGCCCAAATAACAAAAACACACATCTTAACATCTAACAAGAGCAATTGCTCCTCCATGAATAATGTTAGAAACAATTTTTTTTGTAAAGTAACAATTCACATATTCCTTGAGCCATTGCTCAATATTATGCTTCAGTACTAGATCTAGTTACTACACTTTGTATTATACTTTCCAAGTTACTAGGTTTCTACCTAAGGAGGTGCAATATCCCGTAGTGAACCTTCTATTTATAACTGAGCCTGCATAATCAACATTAATATATGCCTCAAGACTAATGTTCTTGTTTCTTTTGAACAAAATTCCTCTTCTTGTTGTCCCTTTCAAATGCTAGGCAATTCTAAGAGCATCTTGTAAATGTATTTCATTTGGTTGATCCATAAATTGAATGACTAGACTAATAGCAAAAGCAATATTTGGTCTAATGTGAAATAGATAAATAAGTCTTTCCACAAGTCTCTGGTACATTTCTTTATCCACAATTGCAACCTCTGCACTTCCCATCTTTGTATTTGGATCAACGGGTGTACATGTTGGTTTGTATGCTGTTTCATCGGTTTCCGTAGCAGGTTAATAATGTATTTTTGCTGAAATATAAATATCCCTTTCTTGGATTGAGCTACTTTCATTTTCAGAAAATATTTTAACTTTCCTAAAATCTTGAATTCGAACACTTTGGTAAGGCCTTGTCTCATCCTTTGTTGCTCCTTTTTGTCATTCCATTAACAATGATATCATCCACGTAGACAAATAAACTGTTACTCCCCCTAAATCAGAATGTTTGACAAATAAAATGTGGTTCCCTTGGCTCTATTTATATTCAAGGCTCATCATCACTTTGGTGAATCTCCTAAACCATGGTTGCAAACATACTTACAAGCACAGTTTGTAGACATACTTACGAAGGGGTTGAACAAGAGTAACTTTGAGAACATTATGCCCAAGTTGAGAATGGGGAACACTTATTCACCAGCTTGAGGAGTGTCTAGATATTTTTGGAAGTTTAGATATTATTCCCATTGGCTTTAATTCTGTAAATTTGTTGTATCTTGATTTTATAACTAGCATATCAATACCACAATCTCAGAAATTTGTTTCCTAGGCTGTGCTACTTTCCTAAATTATCCAATCAATCTATGTATATATATCAGATGCATGTAATGACACTAAATAAGAGAGAAATTGTTTTGTTCTAATTTTGGGATGAATTATCAAGATAGGGGAAGTCAACATCATTATCCATAAAATTAAATACTTTTCTGTGCTTTATGGAATTACAGTTTTCATAATTACCTTGAACATTTCATCCATCTTTTTTGTATTTGTTTCAGGTGGAAATGTCAGAACTTCGATCCATCATTGGCGGAACCACCAAAAGGAGCCTTGTACTTGTTGATGAAATTTGCCGAGGAACAGAAACTGCAAAAGGGACTTGTATTGCTGGTAGCATCATTGAAACTCTAGAAAGAATTGGTTGTCTGGGTGTTGTGTCCACTCACTTGCATGGAATATTTACTTTGCCCCTAAACATCACAAGCACTGTGCGTAAAGCAATGGGCACAACGTCCATTGATGGACAAATAATGCCTACGTGGAAGCTGACAGATGGGGTCTGTAAGGAAAGTCTTGCTTTTGAAACTGCCATTAGGGAAGGAATTCCTGAGCCTATTATCAGAAGAGCTGAATATCTTTATCAGTCAGTTTATGCTGAGGAAAATTTCCCAAATGAAGACAAGTTTTCTACTTGCAACAATTTTAATAATTTGAATACAACACGTCTTCATTCTAAAAGGTTCTCATCAGGAGCTAATCAAATGGAAGTTTTACGCCAGGAAGTTGAAAGAGCTGTCACTGGGATATGCCAGGATTATATATTGGAACGGAAAAGCAAAAGGATTGCATTGGAGCTTCCTGAGATAAAATGTCTCTTAATCGGTACAAGGGAGCTGCCACCTCCATCGGTTGTAGGTTCTTCATGCGTCTATGTGATTTTAAGGTCAGATAAAAAGCTCTACGTAGGAGAGGTAAATACCAACTTTAGTATATTATCGTAATTTGAAGTAACCTTTTTCCTTATTTATTTTGTTTCTTCCTTTATCTTTGCGTGATACACAACGCGAGAAAATAACTAGACACCATGTAGGCAAAATTGAGCTATATATATGAATTTGCTTTTGAAGAAAACAAACGGGTAGACATTCCTAATTTATCCAGGAATCAATAATAACACCAACTTATTTTAATCTATTTCTATTATTAATTTTTACTATCTAGCATTTTTCTTTATTTCTATTTACAAGGGAGTAAGTCTCTGCTGTAAAAAATGTTCTCAGTACTTAGCTGTGGGGATGCCATAATTGATTCTATTGTAACTGTTTTTAGCCAAAAGCAGTATTTAATTGATAGCTGATAAACCTGGCTGCATGAATTGGTCTCATGGTTGGGTAGAATGGATCTGATTCCCTTCCGAATGATTGTCTCACATGAACGATCACATGAAAAGACTGAATTACTAATAAAAATTCTATACTCGGACCCACAGTTCTTTCTGGGGACTTATAGTTCTTATTGTGTCTATCTCCTTTATGGTATCTCTAAATATCATTTGTGATGACTTTTAGCACAATAACAAAAACATGTAATTTGTCTGAAATGCTGCAAATTATTCGTTTGTATGCCATCATTACGTTATACAGCTCCTTTCTTATTTTTTTTTTTTAATATTAGTCAATTAGTTGAATTTTTTGTTGCATTGAAATGTTATAGACAGATGATCTTGAGGGACGGGTTCGAAGACATAGATTGAAAGAAGGTATGCATGAAGCATCATTCCTTTATTTCCTTGTCCCTGGAAAAAGCATGGCATGCGAATTTGAATCTCTGCTCATCAACCAGCTTTCTAGTCAAGGCTTCCAACTGAGCAACACGTCTGATGGTAAGCATAGGAACTTTGGCACTTCCAACATGTATGCATAACTAGATGATAGACATTGATAATATCTAATTTAATTTTTCTGCCAGTTTTATATGGCGAAATCACTTTAAAAGTTTGGGAAGTAATGTCTGCAGCATTTTTGTTAGAATTAGTGGCTGTAGCTGTATTAATGTACTTTTGTCAATTATCTTACAAGTACAAAAAGGTCTCTTATCGTATCCCCCTTTGGTTCTTGCTTTAAATTATATTGAGATTAGGTAACAAAATCCTTATTTTTCAATATTCTTTTTGCTCTTTTTTTTTATTTGAAAAATTCGTTTTTGTTATAACTTTTTTTCATTTTCTTTCTCAATTCATTCAGATTTTGAAAGTATTTTTTTTTATCTTAGTTGAAACAATATTTTAAAATAACTTCACTCTTAAATGAAGGATGTTTATTTGCTATAAAAACATAATGCATTTTATTTCGAAAAATGAAGAAAATATCTTTAATAATACATTAAAAATTGAGTCATTTTAGAATTTTTTTTATGAAGTTAAAATTCTAGTTTTAGAATAAAGAAAACAAATAATTGTTTTTTAATGTCTTTATACAATATATCTTTTTCTTTATCAATTCCTATATATACAATTTTTTTATCTCTTTTATTGACTAGCAGCATCTAAATGGACTAAAAGTAGTTAAAAGTTAGAGTTTTATAATTATCATATTTAAATTAGTAATTAAACTATAATAATATGTAAAAGTGAATACTACAGAAAGTTAATCCAGAAAAGAAGAAAAATATAAATAAACAACTTTTTCTTACAAATGAATTTTCCTTGAAGAAAACTCCATAATAATTAACCAATAAATACTTAATTTGCTAGTCCCTAACAACTAGGAATAAGCAAGAACCTATAAAAACACTTTCACTAATGAACACTGATCACTTCTTGTCCATTCCCAGTGTGTGTTTCACACTATCCACAGCACCTTGAGCCATGTTCTTCATTTGCTCCCCAGTCTGCAAAAAGGGGTAATTGAAATTAGAACACTATTTAAAGAATTAATTAAGATATTAATGTTCATGAAGTTGCAGTGAAAATCACAAAAAGAAACATAGATTATGTTCATGATAAGGATATTATATATGATGAACTCTTAAAGCGACATTGAACAAAAGTTGTTTGATATGAGAAAAAAGAGAACCTGTTGGAGAAAACCAGCTGCTTCCTCCTTGTTTTGCTCAGCAGTTTGCCCTGATGTGTTAGCAGCTGCATTAGCTTTGTCAACAGCTGCTGAAGCTGATTCCTTCGTAGATTGGACCAAATTTTCGGCCTTAGCCTAAACCATAATCAAACAACACTCATTAACAATTAAGAATAATATATATTTTCAATTTGCTAAGATAAAGAAACTGTTTGGCATGTATTGTGTAAGTTCAGAGTTAAATTTAAGGTTTATTCTCTTGCGTCTGATCTTCAATCAGGCCAGAATCAGTGGTACAGCTCTCATCAACAATAAATAAAATGAATTTTTAGAATATTTGTAAGTATAAATATCATTTTATAAAGTTTAATTACATTTAAAATTTATTTTACAAGATAATATTAAAATTATTTAACCTTTATCTTAACAAGATTTGTTATTTGTTAAATTATTTATTATTGAATTATTTTATTAATATTTAATTTTATACTTAACATATATATGTTTACAGAGATCTCACATCAAACATATTTATAGTATATAAATTATACAAACTTGATTTAATAAATAACTAAGAATTATATATATATTGTGTGAAATTAAGAGTTTGATATTAAAATATATGAAGAAGATGTTTGAGTTGAAGGTAGTGTAAAATATATATAAAGAAAGTCATTGAACCAAAGAAAGAAGTAATATAATATATAAGAAAAGAGAGTGAGGTTTTGGGTTGAATATTATATATGTGATGTAAGTTGAGAAAGGGATTTGTTGACCTGAGTCTGGCCTTGGGTTTGGCCTGCACTGAAGTTTTGTTGGGTACTTGACATCTTTTATTGATTTGATGAAAAAGAGTGATAGAAAGAAAAGATCTAAAATGGTGTTATTTGGTGTTTCACAAGCTTCATTTATAGATCTAAGAAAAGCATAAATATAGGATCCTCATACTCTGTTAACGAATGTGCGCATTTTTCTGTTTCTCTAACATGAGATAATCACGCATTTCCATCTTTCCTTTACTTTCATTTATTACTAGTTAATGCTTTTTTATTCTTCATTTTTCTTCCAACCAAAAATTTCAATGTTACAAAATAAAACTTACTATTTACAATTACACACTTTCTTTCTGCTCCTCCTCCATGCCATTCTTCATACATTCCTAACTAAAAACAACTTTTCATATTACTTTTCGGATTACACAATTTCAAATTCATTTTTTTTTTATTTTTCGAGTATATAATCCGAAAACCAAAATAACTTCAGAACTATATAATTTAAAAGTCAAAAATAACTTTCAAATTAGTCAATTTTTTTTTAAAAAAATATTTTTAGATTGCAAAATTTAAAAACCCTAAGGCTCGCATGCATCACATGTAAAAAAATAGTTTTTGAATCACATGCATCACCGTAAGGCTCGCATGCACCCGCAGCGAATGTCTAAAAAAAAGGGAAAAATGAATATTTACTCTGTTCCACTTTTTTTATTAGATGGTTATGTAGAGTTCTTCGCTAGGAATGATCTTGAAGTCTTTGATCTTCAATCATAGGTCAAAACTTAATAGAGATGGGTTTAGAGAGATAATGATTTTATAAAAATAAACTTTATATAATTTAAAATTTTTATTATTAAAATATTATACTATTATCTTTTTATATAAACCACTGTTGCTCTAACACCGGATTCTCACACAGTAAATAATGATAATTAAATAAATTAAAAACAAATTATTTTTCTAAAATATCAATTTAAAAAATCTTGATAAACTTTTAACTTAAAAATTGTCAATAGTGATATCTTTATATTATCAATAATCATTTGAAATTTAAATATTTTGTTGCATTTGATAAATGTTGAAATATTTTATTTGATAAAATAAAATCAATAAATTTGGCGTTATTGTCACTTGTTACTTTCTTTATTTTTGTATCAAATTATATTGACAAAAGCAACATAATTCATAAACATAGATTTAACTTCAATTTCATTATATAAAAAATAAACTCAAACTTTGAATAATAATCGATAATTGGTAAGTAATATTGCACCCCACATGATGATGAAGGAGTGTGATACAGTTTCCATAAATCACAATGAACGAATTCAAACAAACTCCCACTTTATGTAAACTGATTCTTACATTGTTTAGCACGGTAACATGCATCACGAGTTCTATATTATTATTTTTACTAAATATGCTCACACAAGGATTAACTTTTAACACCTTTTGTGACAGGTAACCTAAACGTCTATAATATATATTAATCATTAATGCATGCACCTTCGAAATACTCTAGAAAAATAAATTAAACCATACAATTGGAGGCATTGTGATACATAAATTAAATTGCAAATTAATTGAGACACATAAAAGACATTGCCAAGTTGCAAACTACCATCCAAATCACATTGTCCTCTTTCACGGTGTTGACATATTTCCTATTTGACAATCACACTATTGTGCTTGTAAACTTTCTCACATCTATCAAACAAGATAATTTTTGTCACTTGGTGTGATGCTCTTGTGTCAATAATAAAAAGAACTATGAAGAACAAACACAAATACAGACATAAACATGAAGATACCATGAAGTTGAAAAATATAGAACACAGGACACAATGCGATATATATATATATATATATATATATATATATATATATATATATATATATTTCTTTTCAATTTTAATTTTTGTGAAAATCAAATTGATACACATCAATTAATCTAATATTGTCCTACAACTCAGACAACTAGCTCCTCATCCACAAGAGGTTCCCCTACACTCGCATCTTCATATGCTCACACTAATAAGGTGTTATTTGCAAAAATAAGAAGATAACATAGAAACCATAAAACACACAACATAGTAAGCTAGCTGGAAAATGAGATAACATGCATTTATAATACAATGAGTCATTCAATTATCACATAAAAGTATACATACAACCAAACTCTTGTAGAACTCAATTTATTTGGATATATGTCCTTGAGTCAGACTAGTGAAACCATGAACTTGTGGTGATAAAAATACTGTTCTACCGAGCTGACATACACAAGCTTATTCCCTGTCATGATCATAAGAACCCTAGAGTCATCCTTATGATAAGACCTCTTGCCACTCTCACCACCTAATCATTCTCCTCTACATGAGTATGAATGATTAGTAGAGTTAAGAATGGCTACACAAAAATGGAATAATGCTTACCTCAAGAAGCATCCTAGTGAATCACACAGTAAATAGGATTTTCTCTCTAGAAATCCCCATAATATCACCAATTTCAACGATCACAACCAATTAAGTATTACTCATATATTTCCAACAGTCTCATATAAAGAAATCGATGACTCATGCTTAATACGTCCACACATATGACATACATACTATAATTTCAAATGGGTCTATACATCCTCAAACAAGCATTCAAAAACACATATTAGAAACCATAGAGAATATGTCTATCTTGGAAGAAACTAGTTCCCATCACTTTTATCAAATACAACTTCCTTAAGTAAATTGCATAACAACTTAATAACACATTGTACAAACTGTTTGGGATTTTAGAAATAGACTTCACCTTGTCCAAAACTTAAACAAATTTATTTTTACATTCAAATTAAAGGTAATTGAATCAAGAACACATTGCAAAAAAGAATCAATCTAATTGGATAGATGTAAAAAAAATTATGCACTGAACAAACAACAAAGGTCAAAGTTGTATAATAAGCTAATATACAGAGACCTTAAGAGAAAAATTGGTGTCACTAAATACCTCTAATTTAAGATTTGACAGTCTAAGCAAAGAACTATGTGTCTAGGATCAACGGTTAAAGTTCCAGCTCGATTTGATACTAGATAATGCCCAACAAGACAGTTAACCATTGTCAAACTAGAGCCCAATAGTTAAAGTGTGGCGCCCGGTGTTAACAAGATAATGAACCACTATCCAAATGGCATCCAATGCCAAGAAATACCTCCCAACGATATAGCTACATAGGCTTGTTGTTCTAGGTTTTTCGAAACCTAACACCTAGTGGTGACCAGGGCCACCTAATGGTGACATTAATAGCAACTCAAAAACACCATTTTCAGACCCCAAAGCTTACATACATTGACTCAAGCTCATGCTTCTCGAACCTAATACATGAAACATACATTTTACAACACTCAATCATGCAATCAAGACTCAAAAATACCAATTATAATAGCCAAAAGTGTCCAAATAACTTTAGACAACTAAAAACACTTCTAGTTCAACAGGATGTTTTACATGAACATCACAAAGATGATCTGACATATCGTTATGATCACTGACCAACAAAGACTCATATAGAAGATTAAAAGGATGCATGCAAGTGGAAAAAATGCTCACATACAACAAAAAATATAAGTAAATTAAGAAAATGGATGAAACTATACTTATCCAAACTAAAAAATTGTTCGGTCAAAATTGATGAGCTCATTGCGATGATCAATCCTACGGTTTTGGATCTTGTGAGAAAGCAAGAGAGAAGAGAATTATAGAAAAATGATTTCTAAAGATTATATGTTTTCAAATAATGAAACTCATTCATAAAACTTTCTATTTATATAAATCTTTTTAATATTAAAATAATTGGGTCTCATTATCTATTATCATTATAAATTTTAAAATATCATTTTTTATGTCCTCACAATTAGTGTTAAGATTACAAATTTTAAAATAATTTTCTTAACACTTTATCGTTAGAAAAATATTGAAAATTGCAAAATTTTAAGAGAAATTTATTAAATAAAATTTTAAATTTTCTATTTATAATTTTTATCTTTATTTTTTTTTTATTTTAGAAAATATGTAATTTTGATTAAATTTTTAATTTATCTATATTTATTTTATTTCTTACATTACATTTAAATTAATAAAATCATGTTTAGAGTTCAATTAAATTGAAATAAAAAAAATAAAAAGTACCTAAAAATCAAGGATTTCGTTAAAACTGAAAAGCTTCTAATAAAATATCAAATGCTTCAATTTTAAAATGAATGGATGGAATTTACGAATTGAGAAAAATAAAACTAAATTTATATTCAATATTAAGTCAAACATAATTTTGTGATTTTTAATAAAAAATATTTTCCAACGTATTAAAGAATAAAAATATATTTTCGTACAATGGATCTTCCTTGTCATTTAGCTTATAAATTATTACTAAAAGTTTAATGCATGATGTCAAAAATGTTAAATGGAAAATATATTCAAATCTTGTTGTTTTAATTTTATTCAAATTCTGTCTTTCAAATCAAGATTTGATACAACTTTAAGGAACCATATTGTACAATTGTACAAATGTTTCTTTGATGTCCAAAAATCATAATAACCTCAATTCGATAAAATTTTAAACACCTCTCCTTTTGCATTTGATCTTTTCGATAATTATTGAGAACCAATTAATTATTAATTAGGTCATCTCATTGCAAAATATTCTAGCATAATACACTTTATATCTACCTAGTGGAACATATATTTTCTGAAAAAAATATTTAGAACAATAAGTATATAAAAAATAATGAGTAATTACACAGTAATTATTTTAGTATTTGAATATTTTATTTTTGTTTTTTTAATTTTAAAATATAATTAAAGGTAAAATAGAAATATAAAATGCATATGAAAAGGGAATCTTTTTTATTGTATAAATATATATTTTAAAATATAATTTGTGATACCTTTAAAAATATACTTCTATAGCCAAAAGGGAGTTTACTTTGTTCACGAATTAGATCGATTAGATTTTGAGAACTCTCTATGATGATTCTAACGACAGACCTTGATTGACGTATGAATGTAAAGTCATAAAGAGAAGACAAAGAGATTAGAATAGGTCAATCAAGGTCTGTCGTTAGAATCACCATA